TTTGTTTTTTGTTTTTGTCTTACGCATTGAAGTTGATTAATTTACGCCCATTTTTCGATAAATTCGACTTTCAAACGCGACGCGCGACGACTCTTGACGAAGACAGACAGATGGACATACTGGTAAGTGCTTAAAGGTTCATGTCTCCGGGTAATGAAGACATTATTTGAGGCAACGACCACGGCAGTTGAAGAGACATTTGTTAAAATGGCAGCCAGTTTTCGGGGCAGGGGCAGTGCGGGGCAATCGATAGTAAAGCTTTCTAACTGTTGATGACTGTAATTATGGCATGAACATGAATTATCTTATTACAATAACAATCACAATTATGAGCATAAATAGATAGAGTTTAGTAACTCAATTAGTGAGATTGTGTGGAGATTTCAAATGGATCACGAATGCCGTTAAGCTGGAGGGAGTGAGGGAACTCGATATAAGTATTGAATTAATATGATACTGTGTCGGAACATTGTGATTCACTGCGATTGCTCACTTCGGTGTGGATAAAGCTGCTACTCTGATGGTTCAATCGATCCACGCACACTCTGTGATTCATAGTTTCAAGATGCGCTACAAATAATCGAACTGCAATTCAAAACACAGACTTTGAATGGCCATCTGCTGATGAGTTTCATGTTCTATATATTCGTATTATAGCGATTAAGTGTTGGCAATCGTGATCGGGTGAATTAGAAGAGGAGCCCTACGCACCTGAAGAAGGCTAGTAATGAGCCCTTTAAAGAACCTACAAGTAAGAGAGTACAAAGTAGAGTACTAATTTATATTGTCTTCCATGTTGGAATCGGAGTGCAGAGTAAGCCTACAATATCCGTTAATAGCTTGTTTATTATATAACCATGAAATACTACCAATGCAAGCCATTCAGAATTCGGGAGTGAGACAAAGATGTGAGCTTGAGAAACACTCTCTTGCTATCTCTCTGGCCTCCGGTCCTTGTTAAACGACGCAGTCTAAGAACTCGGAATTAAAGTTCTTTCAAACATCACTTATTTAGATCAATTACCTATAACATAACTATAACATTCTTAAACATCATTTAAAGGTAATACCTTTTACTAATTGTGCAGTTGGATTTCTAATCGTTTTTAAGTTGTTTTATGTATATCGCGAAGTAATTGTTCGTCTTCAGAGCCTACGAAAAATGTTGCGCTTCTTCAGTTTTCCTCAGTGAAGGAACAATAATACACCTAATTCTGTTTTTACACGGTAGATTGGTTCCAGAAACAACCGTGTAAAAAAAAGACAAAAATAGGTGATTGGTTCCTTATCTCTAAAGAAACTTATATGCTATTTTTAATTTTCAAACCGTGTTATATCAAAATCGTGTAAAAAAGACCGTGTAAAAACATAATTAGGTGTATATTAATTTCATGTTTTTACACTGTAGATTGGTTTTTAAAAAAGTCCTCTAAATAAAAAACCGTGTACAAAAAGACGTTGATCATATGCGAAATGAATCGTGCTTAATGGATTTAATTTTTAATTTTCAAATTAAATCAAAGCCGTCTAAAAAAAGACCGTGTAAAAACAGAATTGGGTGTATATAAAATAGGAAACAAGAGCTTTCAGTGAACTTGTTGGAGGAAAATTTGATAATATTGATGATATTTTGCTCAAGACCATTAAGTGTCCACCATTTAAATACAATCCTGGATATTGTCATTTATATAGGAAATATATTTCCATTATTTTTCGGCTCCTTTTCTCCCATTCTCCAATCATGACTGATGAACTCTTTTGTCTTTTGTCTGTCTCTGCCATGTCTGTCCTGTTTATTAGCCTTGGTCCTTAATTAAATGTTAAATGCAATTTCCATTGAGCAGCACGAATGGGCGCGCAGTCCCAAGCCAACAACAATAGCAACTGCAGCTTGCGGGCAGCCCCAATCTGCGTAGGTGGTGTACAGCTTGTTGAAGGGGTGGGGTAGGGGGAAGGGGGCTGGTGGTAAGAGAGAGAGAGAGAGAGGGAGAGACTGGTGGAGAATCACTGTCGTTCTGTGGGCTGTGCCTGGGCAACTGCAATGGCGACTACGACTGAGGTTTTGCGGTTAACTTGCTGGCTTGTTTCCATAAAAAAAATTAAAGCAACAAAGGAAGAAATAATAAAAAAAAAACAGAGAAAAAAACAAACGACATCGCTTCTGCTGGTGTTTAATTATATACCATACTCTTACCTACACATATGTATGTACAAGTATATGCGTCTGTTTGCGCAAACAGAAGCAGCAACAAAGGAGTTGTTTTTAATACACTTGCAACCGATTGGCCAAAAAATACGTAGAAATGGCAGACAGACTTCCGAAACGTCGCAAAAAAAAAAGAGGAAACGGTCGCATTGTACAACAAATGCGATTGCCACTGAAATCTGCGGAATCAAAGCTGAAATATCGCACGAGATTCGCAAAAAGTGACGCACAATATAGGCACAATGTATCGAATACCAGTATGATGAATATTATCATATCATATATTACACTACATACATAGATTGAACTCTATTCTTTTGCTAGAAACTCCCCAAGACAAGAGTCCAAAACGCTGGCTTTTTAAAAAGTTGCCCAATTAAGAATAATATATGATATGATAATATTCATCATATTCGATAAATTCTGCCATAGATTGAAATCTATTCATTTGCTGGAAACTCCACAAGACTACAGTCCAAAACGTTGGCTTATTAAAAGTTGCCCAATTAAGAATAATATATGATATAATAATATTCATCATATTCGAGAAATTGTGCCATAGATTGAAATCTATTCTTTTGCTCGAAACTTCCGTCCAAAACATTGGCTTTTGAAAAGTTGCCCAATTAAGTATAATACATGATATGATATGAATAATAAATATCATATATTATTCTCATATTCGATAAATTCTGCCATAGATTGAAATCTATTCTTTTGCTCAAAATTCCATAAAACTCCAATCCAATACTTTAGCTTCTTAAAAAGTTGCCCAATTAAGTATAATATATGATATGATATTCGGTAAATTGTGTCATAGATTGAAATCTCTTCATTTGCTGGAAACTCCACAATACTACAGTCCAAAACGCTGGCTTTTTAAAAAGTTGCCCAATTCCATTATAATTTTTAAAGCAGTTCAATATCGGATTATTTAAGCAAAGGCGAAATATCTTGCTCGATTTACAAACAAAATGTGCGAGAACCGCTTCATAACCTAACTATGAGAGATGGCTCCAAACACAAAGAAGTGAATCCTTTTCATTGCTGTTAACGTTTCAAAGTCTGGAATTTCTTCAAATTCAATTTCAATTCATCAAAAACGGTTGAACCGAATTGTGAAAGAACGCTTCGAGAGTGAGAAAAACAGAAGATGACTTCTTGTTTTTAACGCAAAATCAGATAATAACATTTTGAAAAGTTCAATTTAAGATGGAATTCATAAAGTAGTTTTACGTAGTTTTACGCTATTTATGATTGTTTTTGTGAGACGCTTCATTGATAGTTCACATAAAAAATTAAATTAAAATTAATTCTTCAAACACGAAGACGTTCTTCACGTTCGATTCACAAAATTCTTGAATGTCCTTTATAGTCCAACTTCACCTTAGAACTGGTCTTCTATTAATACTTCGAGCACGGCTTCTTCTCGGCCCTCTTTATGACAGAGTCTCCATGTTCTTAAGTAAAATTCTGTAGCGCACTTAAAACTGATCGTGATAGTGTTCTATGAATTAGTCCAGTTTATTCTTCACGTCTTATTTTTCAACGCGATGCAACAATTCTGCATCTCCTTTATTTTACATTTACGGAGTATCTTCTTCAATATTTTAAGAATGAGAATAATTGAACAAAGAATCCAATAATAAATCATACTTAAACGCAAACTATTTTTATTAAGCGCTGCTCAATCAACAATTTTGGTGGCTTAGTCAGAATTTTTCGTTCAGGCAGCTACGAAGAATTCCCGTTAAAGGGTAATCAGACGTTTACTTGTATTTATTTGACGATAACAAAGGCGAACTCAACTGTGACGCACAGATATTTTTATTGTTGAACGACATAGGCGAGCAAATAATATGCGTGTGTTTACAATTTAAAGGTCCCGATGCTAGATAGCACTAGCACTTGATATTAATTAAATACTATTAGTTTACTTTTTTTAAAAGTTGTCACACATCGATGTTGTTAACCATCTACATACGTCTCAATGTATTTACACCACTAAACTGAATCCGTTTAATTGGAGTCTGGGCTTATGGAGTTACAAAGGACTGACAGGGGAGAGACAGACAAACAGACACCCATCGATATTTCTGATTGACTTTTTTGTGTTTGTCCGTCTAACTGGCTAACAGTCTGGGCCGTACAATCAATACAATTCCAATGTACATATGTGGGAGAGTATGTGGGAGAGTGAGTCTATCTGCCTGTCTATTTGTCTATCTGTCTGTCTGTCTCTCTGTCTATCTGCCTGTGTCTGTTGCAGAAACATTCAACTTTGGGCAAACCAATGCAAATAGCCATAAATGCCAGCAGAGTAAATATGCACTGGCCAGGCCCAAGCCCAGGTCGAAAGCCAAAGCGAAAAGGACACACAATGTTGCAGCGAGAGAGTCCATCAATGTGTGAGTCCATCAGAGCTTCATTCAGTTTTCGTTTTTCACTTTTTGAGGCGCGTAACATTTTTTATGGCCTTTTGAGTAGTAAAAAGGAAAACTGCAGCGGCAGAAATTAGTTGGCGCGTCCATTAGGGGACGATAAACCCAGAGTTTATGCCAAGTTCAAACAAATTGCGCCGCCTCGAAGTACAAACTCGTATGTGGTAGTCGAAGGCACCACCTTCATGTTCCAGGCGACAGTTATGGCGCGTGTTTGGCACCACTGTGCACAGTTTTAAATTGATTCCGGTAGCCGGTAGGACGGCAGGCGCATAAATCAGATGTGAACATTAAATACTTCCTTCTTACAACTCACATCTCTCCTTCTTCTTCTTCTCGTCTGCTGATTTCAGGGAAAAGCTTTACCCTCACAATTACCGTTGCAACGAGTCCACCACAGGTGGCTACCTACGCCAAAGCCATTAAAGTGACCGTCGATGGGCCACGGGAACCGCGCTCCAAGACAAGTAAGTACCAATTATCCCCCAAACGAAACTTCAACCCCCAAGAAAACGAAAATAATTAATAGCTCGTAAATTTATATTAATTGTATTTAATATTTTTGGACTGCTTCTTAAATATTTATCCAAAGTGTCCATCAAAATATTACTTAAACTTTATAAAAAAGTCAAACAAAAAATTATTGCGAGCCTGTTTTGATTATTTGGAACTAATCTGCACACCTCCTCGAATTTCGGATAAGTTTATTTAATGGTGTAGCCACTCCGCTTTAATAAGATTATAGAAGGATATAAAAAATATCTCCATTTCACAAAAATAACTGGAGCTATTAAGTCTAAGTTAGATGCCCATCCAACAACACCACTCTACTGCATTTATATTCAAGATACTTATGAGCCTTAAAGAATTAAATAAGTTATTCTAAAGATAAATTTGTAATAGAAGGATTATTTCAAAACTATACAAAACAACAACAGAGAAAAATTAGGGTACAGTAGCTACTCTTTTCAATTCGACTATTACTTTTTTTGTTGTGTAAAACTATATGCATTACATCTAGATTAAGCGGTTCATTAATTTGTAAGCTAAGCTTATACTTAGCTGTTTACAATTTCCCGATTGGGTGCATCCGAATTTTATATATTTTTTGTTAGATAAGAAAAATATACATATGTGACAAATATTGTCACTAAGTTCTCATTCTGGAATTCTATAAAATGGGATGTAACGCATCCGTATCAGAGAAGCCTCCGATTTATTAACAGAAATATACTTTTTACCTAAAATTAACTTTAGATTTTTGTCAAGATTTTTACAAGTACTTATTATTCTTATTGCCGTAGAGACTTTGAACCAAACTGTTGGATTTGTGGAACAGCAGTTATCGGTTACCGATCATTAGCTTTCAATTATCGATTGTTGAGATTTGATTGCTGATTGCAAAAGTTTCTAAATCGAATTTATTACAGAATAGAGTACCGAATATGATTTGGCCATATCATCTTAACAGTCTTTCCTTTAATGGCAATGTTCATGTAATTAACACCTTGTTGCCCATTATTGTTGGCATTTATTAAAGAAATCTAAACGCATTTGACACCTACGAGTATACTCGTAGTAGCAGTAACAACATAAATGAAAGCAACTAGAACAACAATAGCAACAACTTAAGCCAACTTAAGTGAACTAATCGGAAGAAAGAACACAAAGTGCCGGCCGGCCGGTCGGCTGGACGCCCGCCCGCTGCGTTTTGGGTTGCCGCCATGTGCCATGAGCCATGAGCCATGTGGTTTGGAAAATGCTCAGTCTATGGTGAGTGGAGGTGGTCTCGGTTCTCGGCTCTCGATTCTCTGTGCACGGTTCTCGATTGTGAACTCTTAGACCGCATTAAACAAGTGCCTAATTAATGTAAATAGTTAAGCCGATCCAGTCAATTGCACTTAATCCCCACAACAGAAGGTGTGCTCAAAATATTTGGATTGACTTGAAAATTGCAAAAGGTACTGAGTGAGTGAGGAGTCCTGCAGGAGTGCAGGAGTCCTGCAGGAGTCTCCTGAGTCCATTTCAATATCAACTTCAGCTTCAACAGATGACTGCGCCATTTTGCTGACAACATCTCGGGAAGGTGTTTGAAAAGTGCAGCCTGTTCGCTTCACTGACTGACAGACTGTTGGACTGATGTACTGCTGGATTGACTGACGGACGGTTGTAGTTGTTATTGTTGTTGTTGTTGCATTGCTTCTTACGGTTTCTGAAAATTTTGCGGTTTTCAAAGAAAACCTTTTCGCAACGCACAACGTATTGAGTTTTTAGTTCGTGTAATGCATATATGAATTAATTTTTTTTCTCTCCTCTTCTTCTTCTCTTTTTGTTTTTTGTTAATGCATTTTTATGTCTTCACTGCAATACATAATGTGCTGCAGCTTAAGTTTACCTTGAGTTTTGTGTTAATTTCAGACGAATGAACGAACGAACGAACTACCGAACGATCGAGTCGAGTCGAGTCGAAACGAGCACAGGGAGGGTTAAGAGGGGTATTTAATGCCAACAGGCCAATGCTGCTATTGGCCAAAACAAAAGTACAGCCCGACCAACTACTCAACCAACATGCAAGCCATTCCGTTTATGGTGTACACATTTGCGTCTACGAAGACAGTTCCTTCCACGATGTAGGCCCAAAGTTAATTACTTAATTCATCGATTAAGATGTTAATTGCTAACAGCATCTAAGAATTGCTCCAAATTCTATAGTGTAGCCATCTATGGGAATGGCAAGTCATTTTGAGGATTTGAAGATGACTTTTGAAACAAATTCTAAATGAACATACTTCTCTTCATAAATTTCTTTAATTTTAAAGAAAGGGGGAAATTCAAGAGCGTTTGAAAAAGAGGATAATTAAGCACAAATGAAGGCATTACTTTATTTATACCCGACCCATGAATTATTTATTCTTTTTACACCGAAAATTAAAAGCAACATTAAATTTTAATTAATTCCATTAATCTGCCTCTTCATTGCTATTATTTACATTTTCGTAATGCAGTTAAATATGATTTTCAATCCTTTTTCAACATTTTGTTTTTTTCATATTAGATTTATTCATTTATATTTGTTAACTGATGCGAATTCAATATTTTTTGATTAAATAAATGAAATAATAATGAAAAGCGTGAGCAGAAATATGCAGGTTTGAAAACATGATAGAAATGCCTGAATCTCAAGCCTATTGACATATTAAAATGATATCTAATAGGTCATTTGATTGCTCCTCTATTTCCCATTCGGCCAGTAATGGCTGGATAAAAAATTAAAATTAAATAGAACATTTAAGAGACGCTTTAAATAAAATGGAGAAATTAAAAATGGAACATTTAAAATTGTAAAAGGACAAAACATTTTGAAAATAAATCAAGATAGACGTCAACATAAGGAAAGAAATAACCAAAGTTTATATGAAATATGATTGCTTCAGAGTAAATCTGTCCCGTTGATCTTTTCTATATACGAGTAAACATACTACTTATATAGCCAAAACATATATGAAATGTGATTATAATTTGCAATACTTTGCAGGTCCCACCGGTGGTCCGCAATACCGAGCCCTCGCACTGGGCCAACGGCCATATCTCGATGGCTATCCAAAGACCCTGCACGATCTGGAAACGATCCGACGCTCGGCCAAAGTTGCGGTGGCAGCCGCATCGGGCACAACGCCAGTGAGCAGCTCCCTGACCACAAGCTCAAGCATAGTGCAGCAATTAAGCACCAATTACTCATCGTCGAATAGTACAATAAATTCTGATTGCCAGGGCTATAAGCCGAATGCACCGCAAATACCAGGTAAGTGTACAGCCAATTGAAATGCGGGCCAAGGGCTCGGCCAGAGCGGGGATGGCATGGGATGGGAGGTGTTGAGCACGCGAGCTTCACGATCGGCGGATCGTTCGGTCGATTGTGCTCCACTTTCCCGTCATTTCACTCCTTAATGAAGTTATTAATGCTACAGTGTGCGTGATTCGAATCGTGAAGTTGGGGATTTGTTTTTGATTTGAATTCTGATACTGCCTTATTCCTCCGTCTCTCCCCCATCTGCACCTTTCGCGTTTCATCTTCTTCTTTGGTTCGCGTCATTACTTTCGTTGTTGTCTTGGATCTGAATTGAACGTTTTAATTGAGTTAATTGGCTGGCCATTGACGCGATTTATTTTTAGCCATTTATTATTTATATTGTACGAGTATTGTAAACGATATTTTTGACATTTGCCTGCTAATTTCTGTTATTCTCATGTTGCGACAAAATAATAGTTCAGCACAGTTCAAGTTTTAACAAAATTTTGTTTTGCCGCATTTGGTAGACATTTCAAGAGAGAGTACCACAGTTAAGAGTCCATAAAACAAATTGCAAAGTTTCGACATTTTTGGCGCTAAAATTTGCACAAAAAAGAGGAAGTGCCGGACTCGTATGCATTATACTTGTACTATACATATATTTATACTATGTATACCTAAAACCACATTTTCAAAAGCTTGTACGTACTATCTCATTAATTAGCATATCAATTGGAATGGTTTTTTTTGGCTCTGGAAATCCCAAGCGTATACGTTTTATCTGTTTCATTTTAATACGTTGATTATCTTAAATACATACTTAGTATATAACTCAATTAATATACTCTTATTTTATTGAAGTGCTTCCTATTGTCTAATGTGAAATGTGAGTTTTTGTAGCTTTGAATTACCTTTTTTCCGCAGCTGTCTTCCTTGAGAGTAAATAGCTATACAACACACTATTTCCTGCCTTACATATAAGCCTGATAATACAAATAGATAGACTTAAGAGGCCTAAATTTCAATTTTAATGTTATGGGAAAACGGATAAATCGTTGGAGCCGTGCCAGCTCCACTCTTGAATACCCTATAAGCACCCTTTTCCAAGTCTTCTAAGTTCAACTTTTTTACACTCTTTACTCTCTTAATCCCTAGGCAGCTCAAATCTATTTCGCACTTCAGTTTTTTTCTTGTAATATTAATAATCGAAGAAGGCAGTTCTATCTGAAACTCTTGAGTTGATTTCTTTTCTTTTGTGTTTGAAAAATGTTGCTGGAATATTATTTATTTTACTGTATCTTCAATTTTGTTCTATTTGATATCTTCCAATTGAATGATTATGATGGAATATTATTAATTTGATTGTTGTCATAAACTTTTCCAAGTTGCGCAAAAATATTTCCGTTTTGTTTTTCTGTCTCCACTGTCCCCGTCTATTGGCTTTAGTTCAAAGCGCAATTAATATACATACATTTAACAAATTTCGTTTGTTTAAACAAAAGAGCGTCAAGTTGACGTTGAACTGAGTCACAGCCACCAGGCACCAGCCGACTTGGCCAACTGGGCCGGCCAGTCCGCACACACGCATGACTAGCATGAGTCAGTCGATGATTGGAATCGGGAAACGTGGCCGATGTCGAGTCGTCGCTTTAGCCGATGATGCCGGTTCCGTTTGGT